TCTTTTTATAGATATATATATATATTAATTAATTATATATTTATTAGGGGATAAGAGTTCATTTTTTGTGTGTTGATCTTATCTTCAATTCATGAAATATATTTTAGTAATAACATGAGATAAAACCTTGGACTTTGTGAAGCTGTTTTTTTTTTCCTTCTTTTGTTTGGAAATTGGAATTCTCTGGTTTGCCCATAGATTTTCATCGAATTTAATTAGGGGATGTATTAAATTAATTTTTAATTTTTTTATGTATATCCACTAGAAAAAAGTTCCTACCTTGGTGTGATATCATATGTTCATAATTATCCTACTTTCTTGTCCATTAGATTAGACTCAGTGACAAACACCAATTTCAATAATTAATTAATTAATTATTCTTTTTACAAATTAATGTTTTATTTTTGTATGATCTTATAAATAGGCTGCCAACAATTCTAGACTCCAATGCTTTTTATGGACTTTTGGGTGAACTTCTAGTAAATCGAAAACCGAAAAAAATAAAATAAAAGGTTAAATCAATTTTGCAGTTGTTGGGCCAACTTAGGATTAAAATCGAACCCGTAAAGGACTTTTATGTATTTGGCCCAATATCCTTGGTTTCTTATTTGGCCCAACTATATGGTTTTCGTTTCATATTTATATCTATATTAATTAAATAAAATTTAATGTAAATCTACAATTTATTTTCAATTAAGTGTATCAATTTGAAATATATTATATTTTTGCATGTATGTTATTCACAATTCGATTAGCAACGACTCATTGGTTCGACATATACATAAACGACTATAACACTGGTAATTAAACAACAATATATACGACAAAAAAGCTAAGATCACTTCATTCTTGATTAGATCACCATGCATCAAAATGATTTATAACCAGCAACGAAACATCACAAGCACGATCGATCATATTCAATTTACATAAAATTCGAATTATTTAGCTAGATTAAAACACACAAAAGACTTTTAGCAAATAACCAATGTTGTCGGAACCGGACCGGACTGGACCGGCCGGTCCGACCGGGACCCGGTGATGGCGCGGTCCGGTTCGACACTGAGAATCGGAAAGTCAAAAACCGGGGTCAGTTATAATTTGGACCCGGAAAGGAGCCGGTTGAACCGCGAAAAACCGCCGGTTGAAGCAGTTGAAAACCGGGTTAAACCGGATTCAATATCAAAACATAAAGGGAACAGATGAAACGGAGGGGGAATAATGTTTGATTTTCCGATTTGCTGCAGATTTAGTGAAAGATTTGATTATGTGTATTTAATTGGGAAGGGGAAGCACCATTGTTGAATGGAATGAAAAAGAGGCAAAAGATGAAGAGACGATATAAAGAACTAAATTAGGGTTTGGGTTAGTAATTTATATTGATTCTATTATTAAATATTTAATTATCATTTATATTGTAGAATTAATTTTCTTTGTGTTTCAAATATGATTATATAATTAATAAATAAAATGAAGAATTAATTTTATGTTGATAGTTAAGAATAATCATAATATGTTTTAATTTATATTAAGATAATCAATTCAAAATTATAAATAAATAATTTAAAATTAAAAAACCCAGGTCGACCGCGGTTGAACCGGTCCAACCGTGACTCAAATGTATAGCCGGTTTCGTGTCCGGTCCGATTCTAAAAATATTGCAAATAACATAAAGTCGCGTGTCATGTTGGCTATAAAAAATATTATTTGGTGAGTATAGCAACAAATAAGAAACATTTACTAATAATGGAAAGAAACAAATTAACTCAACCACCTTGGTAAGGAGAAAAGAGGGAGCAACAATAATTTAAAGTTAATATTCGATGGAGTTTGTCTATTAAATAATTAAATTTTGTCTCTAATTGAGGACTCGAATCTATGGAATTATAATAAACTAATGAGAAATTGTGTTGAGAATAATATATATATATGTATATATATGTGTGTGTGTGTGTGTGTGTGTGTAACACAAGTAAAAGTTAGTGGATACGTATACATCATATGCATGTATATCTATTTCCTTATCTTTTGGAACATATTTCATCTATAAAGTATCTATAGATATGTAGATGTATCACTTTCCTCCTTTTCAACGTTGATTCACAAATATAATTTACATGACTGTATATATATTGCGATGATACTTAATACTTTATATATTCAAAGATTCTTTCATATGGTCCTCAAGCTTTTCTTTCTTTGTTGTTAGGACCAATAAGATGTGAGTTTGACTCCATTTACTCCCTATCACTTTCTTGGACTTTTTTTTTTTCCAATAATAATTATTATGATTACAAGAGTTACACTATTTAATTTATTTGAAATTGCATGCATACACACACACACACACACACACACACACACACAAAAAAACTAGAAATTAGACAATTTATTTGATAGTAGGATTGAAGGAAATCTACTTAGGCATGTAGGGTAAAAAGACATCATCTATGTGAATATTGGAATGAAATTTCCGACAATTTACTAATTTCGATCTTAATATATTTGATTTCGAAATATTTTTCTTCATTCCGGTTTTTAAAATTCTGATTTCAATTTGTACAAACTACAAAACGTATCCGAAATGGTATTTTACATGAGATTTTGATTTTCGATAAAAAAAAAATCAAAATTCTCTCTCTCTCAATTACTTTGAATTCTACCAATTTTAATTTGATTTTTTTCCCCGACAAAAGCTAATTCTAATTAATCCGCGACTCGACTCATATCCTGGATTTCCACCTCTAGATGTACGTACACATACAAACAATGATAACAAATTTAAATTTTACGACGATAAAAACCCTAATTATATATATGTAGAACATTTTCGAGCGAGAGGAAAAAAATAAAAAAGATCTCTCTATCAAAGGGGTGCCCTACTTTGATACAGATTCTTGAAGTATTTAAACATGAATATTACCCAATCTGAAGGGGACCCTCCACCTCCATATCACCAGAATCTCAAACGCCATGGTTTCAGTATTACTAATGCTAGCTAGTTGTTATAAAGGTCGAATTTTTCGACTTTCTTTTTTCTTTTCTTTTTTAATACTTTTTACGAGTAGTTTCGTTTTCAGATAAAGAACACTATATAATTTCCTGGTTCTGCGTAAAGTTTGAATTCTGCAGCTTATAAATCTTGTGGACATGGTTAAAAAACATAGTATATGCGCAAAATTGCGATCAAGAAACATAGAAAACGCGTAAAAATAAAAATAAAGTATAGGGTAGTCTTTCTTATATATAAGCAGTTCGATATAACACAGTGGTACTTAATTATTGCAATAATCATTATGAATGTATAAGTTATAGTTACGTCGGTTTTCTATTTATTAAATAACACTAATATATATTTATATAAAAAAAAAGTGGGAATCAATTATTATTTGATGAAATTAAATAGCATGCATGTTATAATGTTATGAATTATGATAAATAGCAATATAATGCTGATGAAGGAGAAGATTTAAATAGTACGATTATGGAATCTGTTCTATTAGAATAGATATATAAAAAATAAAAAAATAAAAGAGTATGAAAAGACAGTGAAATAAATTAAAGGTCTTTTTTGAATCTATTCCAGTCAAGTGGGGCTGATAATTAATTAATTTGGCTATATATATATACTTATTTTATCTGATGTAACTAATTGAGATATTAAATAAATTAATGTGAAATTATTAAAAAAAAAAATAAAAAAAAATTGAAGAAGAATATAATATTTTGTGCGTTTCAATTCATTTCATGTGATCAGCAGTACGATTTTTTGATGGTGTTGGGGGAATCAATCTATCTTAACAAGTAGAGGTTTGAGATTAAGAGGATCTAATCCCAAACAGCTCCTACTTTAATTTATAATTCCCCTATGTAATAATCCACTTGATGATATGTAACCGGAGCCAGAATTTTATATTCGCGTCGCAAAATATTCGTAATAATTTTTCTGAGGGGCCCTACGATATATAGTTGGAAAATAACATTTATTTATCAAAAATAGTAGGTTTGCGAAAAGGTAATGGAGTCATGACCTCACATAGCCATGGTTTATTGGAACCAAATTTTAATTTTCGAGCTTGAACGAGCGTTGGAGAACAGAAACGAAGGTTCCCGTGCCATTAATTAGTGATGTGGTCAATTTGGTAATGTTGGGTCAAACTCCTCGCATTGAGCTTATTAAATCGTATAATGACAAAATGTATGGGCCCGCAAGAGATTTACTGGATCCACCGACCTAGTGTGAAAGACAAGACCTCTTTAGAAGCTCGCCCGAAGAAACCTCGTTAGTACCAATCTCGCTAAAACGATGCCCCTGGGTTACGCGGTTATCGAGCCACCTAGCCCATCCGAACATGCCAGAGACGATCAATGGGGAAGCGAAGCAAATCAAATGGCTAAAGATAGGAAATAACTATCTTTAGTACAACTATATACAGGTTTAAGGCGAACACAATCACAACAATTTAATATTAATAATAACACTTTTATACTCTCTTTCGAATTCTCTCTCTCTTCTATTAATATTTTTCGATCTGTAGTTTGTCTTCGGCACCCGTTATAATGCCGTCGCTAGATTAACTTTCCAACGACTAAGTGAATTGAGTTCGAAATAAGGTCTTGAGGGTGCATATAATGCACCATCAATTAGGTCAAAAATTTTGAACAATTAAAAAAAATAATGAAATTCGGTGAAATATGCTATGCTGGCTCCACCACTATTAACAATTATTATTACAAATTAACACAAGAAACTGATTTTTCGCGATTTCAAGAAATTATTTCTCTTGGATCTTTTTTCTTCTTCGTCAAGTACAACTTCTTCTCGACAAGTTAATATTCTGATCTTTAAGAGGAGGAATCATATATTCTAAATCTACCCCCACAATAATAAAAATTAAAAATAAAAATAAAATAAAAATATTCTTCGTCAACTTGCTCCCAAACATTATCTTTTCATTGCTATATAAAGACTTTGTTTGCATTATAAGATCTCTCAATCCAACACATCTCACTTATATACACTTCTCCCTTGACTGAGGCAGCCTCAATTCCCCTCTCTCTAAACAAATTTTACCTTTTTTTTTTATATATCGACAAATGGCATCAAGCTCCATGTCATCGTCTTCACGCAACTCCGCCTCGTCATGGACAGCTAAGCAGAACAAGCAGTTCGAGGAGGCAATAGCCATGTTCGACAGGGATACGCCCGACAGGTGGCACAACATTGCCCGCCAGGTCAGTGGAAAATCCGCCGAGGAAGTGAGGCGGCACTACGAGGCCTTGGAGAAGGACATTATGAAAATCGAAACCGACCAAGTCCCGATTCCTAACTACAAATCCATCTCCAATGCCAGAGGTTACTCCAACGACCACAGGTATATATACATATACACATACATACATACACTATTTTCTTGCATTTTCACTAAAGTGTCGTTTAAGGCTGACGCACACCAATTAAGAAAAATATTAAATAGCATTTTGATTTTAGAAGAAAAAAATATTATATGATGAAACTACCCTTTGTGTTTTCCAACTTCTTTTTATTAATGCTTTAATTTGTCATTGATGTTAGGGTAGAATTAGAGAAAAAAATATAACGTTTGTCGTACGTTGAAAATTTAAAGTGACAGCTAATTTGGGAAAAATGAAATTGGCTAAAGAAAAGAGAAAATATATAATAATATGCATCATATTTATATAGATATTGCTAAAATAAATTACCATATACACACTTGAAATCTAATCTTACTTGTTTTAGATCTTAGCACATGGCTTTTCTAATTAGTGCACTTTAATTAATTTATATCTCCATTAATTAATCTTTGATATATATATATATATATATATTAATTTTTTTCTCATTGAAAACAGGCTAATGAAGAATCTCAAGCTGTGAGTGATCAAATAATTATCCGTTTGTAGAGTAAATCTTGATTATCGTTGCAAGATTCTCAAACGAAGAGCCAAAAAAAAAAACGAGAGACGCATATAAGTGTAATATAAGTGACGATCGAACTTGGCCATCTAGTGTTTTTTATTTTCCTGTCATTTTTGCCAGTCTTATTACCAAGAAATTAAACAACAAAAATGTTGTAATAATAAGCACTGGTTTTTTCTTTCACTAGCTAGGTTCGTACGAAGCAAAATAAGATCGATAACAACTTGTTGTAACATGTCCGTGTGGAAAATGTATAATAGTACTACTATGTTTGAGCCTTGTCGAATTATCTCGTATATTTACTTTGTCCTCCGAAAAATGTGATCCATCGAATACGGAATCAAAGTACGAATTGTGAGCTAAACAAAATATGGTCGATGTAAGGAATCAATAGTACTCACTCCTAAAGAAAGAAAAGAAAATTGATTATTCTAGTGAATAAAATTATATTCAATTCAAGCTGCAAAATTTAAGAAATTAAAAGCAATTTAATTTATTTGAATTTGTACTGTTGGTTTCATGAATCATAAGAGATTGTTGTTTTACGTACATACAGACTTTTATTTTACATGAAAAGTTTGGGAAAAATATCATCCATTCAATACAGAATCAAAGTACGTACAAATTAACAAGCTAAAAATATCTGAAGTTGATGGATTCATGAGATATTATTTTTACTTATACAGACTGCTTTATTTTATAGAAAATAAAATTGATTAAAATGGCAAAAATATAATATAAAGGAAACGAAAAAAATGGAGATGCGGGGTATCGATCCCCGTACCTCTCGCATGCTAAGCGAGCGCTCTACCATCTGAGCTACATCCCCTTTTGTTATTTCAATGAGTTTAAATTTATATATTAATTAATAGCAATTAGCAAAACTAGTTAGCCTTTCCCAGGTCAACACTTATCCACACATGTATATTTCTATTATATTTTGAAATTGCATATTTTTATACGAATAAAGTATCCTGCTCCTAAATCAATTTATTTTTCATCTCGAAAAAAAATGAATTTAATTTTTAATTTAATTTATGTTTAATCAAGTCACTTTCAAAGTCTTTGATTAAAATTATATCATTCAAGCTTAAAATTGAACGGATATAGTTTTTCGTTGTCATTTGTTCTAATTATTTTTTTCTTGCATCCAATCCACATGTATTTAAATATTAATTTCTTGGATTAAGGCAATTATATGTTGAAACATTCTTTGGTTGGTTAAACTATTTTTTATTTTTTTTTAATCAATTGTCCCAATCACTTTCATTGTCCATACTGTCTTAACGTTGACGCTTGACATCCATTTTTTTTTCTTTTCATAAATAAAAAAAAAAAGAAGAAAAAAAAAAGAAGAAAAAAAGAAAAAGAAAAAAAAAAAAGAAAACACGATCTTCCTAAGAGCAACTCCAATGCTAGATATCAAAATTGAGTTATCAAATACTCATTTGATATTTGAGAATTATTTTAATATTGATTTAAAATTCATCTACTCCAACCATGGTTATCAAATTAATTATCAATTGGAAGTTTATTGGTGGTTTTATTTGTAATTGCCACGTGTCAACTTCTGATTGAATGATTAGGAGGTTACATTTTTGATAACTCAATTTCCAGCAAGTATTTTTACAACCCAAAAGATGAATTATCAAAATGGAAACCTCATTTGATAACTCCATTGGAGTTAAAGATTTCTATTTTTATGTATGTAAATGGGAGTTAAATGTTTGAATACTCTATTTGATAACCCATTGGAGTTGCTCTAACTTATTCACATATTACAATTAAAATTTACAACCATTTAAATATTACAATAATAACCCCTAAAACAACTTAAAAAATAAACATTTTTTTAAATGGTGAAACTCGTAACCACTATATATATAGGTGCAGAGTGAACCGGTAAATCTACATTCTCCATATAAGTGTACTAGATAAATTAACATTCTCGTATAATAGCTTGTAAATTATATGGGGAAAGCCAACCACTCTCGTTTAATTGACAAGCTCGACCTAACAATCATTGGCAAAATTATTCAGACTTGAATTAATTAACATAACTCCAACCGTTAGGTCATCCCTAGCGGGACATCAATAAACAAAATTCTTGGCGACAGTGTAATTTCATCATATATATATATATGTAAAACCATTTGATTTGTCCAAATAAATTAATAATACATTAATATGTGGTAGCCAAGGTATTCGTGAGATATTTTGTATTATTCTTGTCATCTTCCTTATTACAACCATGCTGTCCAAGTGGTCTAATAATTGCTTCTAATTCGAATTTCTATTTTAATTTGAACTTATCATACATGACTTCTATCTTGGAAATATTACATTTTTCACCCCTCAAATTTGCAATAAATTTTACATTTGGTCCATTATTTCACAAAAAAACACATTTTATTCCTCATGTTTCAATAATTTTACATTTTTTGTCTTTTTCGTCAATTTACCGTTATTACGTCAGGTAAGGCAGTATGAGCGCACGCTTGATTTCATTAGTACTAATGAAAAATTGATAGAAATGACTAGAAATATTGAAATTTTGAAACATGGGGCAACATATGTGGTTCTTTTTTTTTTTTTTTTTTTTTTTTGTTTTAAAAAAATTTTTAACGTTGGGGACTAAATGTGGAATTTGGGCAAATTTGAGGTACCAAAACTGTATTTTCTTTCCCCCCCCCTTTTTTTTTTTTTTTTTTTGTTTACTTTGCAATTGCAGTATTATTTAGATGCGATTTCTTGATTATTCAAATAAAAATAAAAAAATTGACGCCAGCTAAGATATTAGATATATATCCAAAAAAAAAAAAAAAAAAAAAGAAAAGTCTCGTCCACGTTTATACACATTCTGCATACACGACCTTTATTTGCTGGATGATTTTTATTTATTTTATATTTAATTATTTATTTATTTAATTATTTAATTATTTATTTATCTCCCACGTTCCGAATTTTTTTTTTTTTTTTTCAACTCGAACTCAACTACTGAAACTTCAACTCTTCATCCGATCTCCATACACGAATACTTGAAGACCAATCGAGAATCAGTTTCTGCTGTGATTAGGTTTTGCATTTGATTTTGAATTCCCCCCAAAAAAAAAGATGGATTACAGAGAAGATGCAGAAGATGGGAGAGGCGGAGATCTGAGGAAGCCATTTTTGCACACAGGGAGCTGGTATCGTATGGGTTCGGCGCAGTCTAGCATGATGGGCTCGGCTCAATCTATTCGTGACAGCTCCATCTCTGTATTGGCTTGTGTTTTGATTGTTGCGTTGGGTCCTATTCAGTTTGGCTTCACTGTAATTATTTCTTCAATTCTTATTCTTATTCTTTTTTTTTTCGTGAATTATTCCATCGGTGTTGCTTGATTGCAATTTCTGGATATATGAATTTGAATTTGAGAAAAATAATTAACTGATTGATGATCTGTTTGCTGATAAGTTGTAATTGTTCGAACTTGAGCAAGGAATCGAAAACTTTATAGGCTCGATTTCGATGGAGTTGGGATTCGGGTTAGTGAGAATTATTCAAGGGGTATTGAATTAGGGCATCTGAAAACTTTAGTTCGATTACGTTGTTGTAGTGTTTCGGATTGACTTTATAGGCTCGAGTTTCGATGGAGTTGCGATTCGGCTTAGTGAGAATTCACAGGGCAATTGAATTAGGGCATCTGAATAATGTTGATTCCAGTTTCTCGGGTTTCATTTTACTGTATAAAATGGAGGTTTTAGTGTGCTTATCATTAAAAATGAAAGTGAATGATGATCTGATCTTAATTTGTGCTGGAGTCTTGTTCTTTCTGTTTTCGAAACCGTAGAATGTATCTTGATCCTATGATTATTTGTTTGATTGTGTTACTAAATACGAATTAAACGAGCAAACACAAGTTATTTATTAATTTTCCCGTTTTATTGCTTATAGTGCGGTTACACTTCACCGACACAGTCTGCTATTACCAAGGATCTCAACCTCACAACTTCACAGGTAGTTTGTGACTACGATTTTTAAGTTTTGTTTTTATCAAGATTTGTTAATTTTATTTAATAATCATAGTAATAACAATAAATTGGGCAGTTCTCCGTATTTGGTTCGTTGTCAAATGTGGGAGCTATGGTTGGGGCAATAGCTAGTGGTCAGATTGCCGAGTATGTTGGCCGAAAAGGGGTACGTGTTGTTTTCACTAATCCGAATTCATTTATTTTCTTATAATTGATTTAGATTATGTTTTTTTCGTAGCGTATAGTTTAATCATTTTGTTAATTTGATTGCAGTCTTTGATGATTGCTGCCATACCTAATATCATCGGTTGGCTCGCCATATCATTTGCTCAAGTGAGATCTTTCAACATTTATGTATCACTCTAATTATGTTTCATTTGTACTTTTAATATTAATTCTTTTTTTTTTTTCACTTTGGATTTAGGACTATTCGTTCCTTTACATGGGACGATTGTTGGAAGGATTCGGTGTTGGTATAATCTCTTACGTGGTAAATATCAATGTCGACTTTTATTTTTACTTTTTTATATATACAGTCCTGTTAGACTTAATCGGTTTTATATTTTTTCCTACTTTGATAAAGGTGCCTGTATATATAGCCGAAATTGCGCCGCAAAATCTTAGAGGGGCTTTGGGCTCGGTGAACCAGGTTTGCTAATGTAGATATTTACGTTTTTCTTGTACCTTGTAATATTAAATGATGGGATTAAAGACTTTTCTTTTCTATGATTGTAGCTCTCTGTGACAATAGGAATCATGCTATCGTATTTGCTCGGATTATTTGTTAGCTGGAGAATTCTTGCAATTCTAGGTAATCCCGCATAGAGTATTTGCAATTGAAATTGGATTATTGTTCATCTTTAATTTGTTCTGTTTCTTTAGTAAATTCAAATCAAATTATTGATACGTTAATGTTTATTTGGTGAGCAGGAGTACTGCCGTGCCTGATATTGATCCCTGGACTTTTCTTCATCCCAGAATCTCCTCGGTGGCTGGTGAGCCTACAAACAATTTATTTATTTATTTATTATTATTATTATTATTATTATTATTATTATTATTATTATTATTATTATTATTATTATTTTATTTAACGAATATGACAAAATACAAGTATTAATGTACGTGTGCTCTGTGAAAAAATAGGCTAAAATGGGAATGACAGAAGATTTCGAAGCATCTCTGCAAGTTCTTCGAGGTTTCGAAACTGATATTACCCATGAAGTAAATGAAATCAAGGTAAATCTACTCACATCTGGAAAATTATCTTTTAAATTGATCAGGGACATTTTAGTCATTTTCTTCAACAATGATTGCATAAGACAATCTTGGTGTTGTAGGCTTCTGTATCATCAACAAACAGAAAAACGGCAATCAACTTTGCAGATCTCAAGCGAAGAAGATATTGGTTACCACTCATGGTGCATTTTCTTATTTATTTATTTATTTTTTATTTCTTCGAGGGGTTCTGATTGTTCTATGTTTATGATGTGTGCTTAGCTTATATGTTTATTTATTTATTTTAAATTTCATGCAGATAGGAATTGGCTTACTTGTTCTCCAACAGCTATCTGGAATTAATGGTGTTATCTTTTACTCGAACTATATATTTGAAACTGCAGGTGAGTAGAAATCAACATCCATTTCTTGAATTAAGGGATGGGTCAATAATTCAATGGAGTTTCTATGTTTATATATACCGGTATTATATTTACCTTTGTGTTTAACTTGAAGGGATTTCATCAAGCAATGTTGCAACAGTAGGTGTCGGTGCTATTCAGGTTAAGCTTTGACGAACATACTTGCTATTTTATTTTATTGAATATTTATTTTTCATTTTGTTGAAACTTTTGTCTCTGTTTTAAAAATTGCTTGGAAACGTTAATTTAAAAATTGGGGTTCTTCAGGTCATTGCTACTGCAGTTGCTACATGGTTGGTCGACAAAACGGGGCGAAGGATTCTATTAATTGTGAGTTAAATAAATAAATACTGTATAATTTTTAAAATGTCATGAAAACTATGTGACCTTCTTACAAGTATGGAGCACTCTCTTCAGATATCCTCTTCCGGAATGGCTGTCAGTCTTGTTGTTGTTGCCACAGCTTTCTTTTTAAAGGTATTGTAATAAATGATTAATTTATTGTTTATTCTAAAAGAAACAGTTATCCATACAAAAATAGAAACCTAATACATAATCGTTTAAAGGGCTTCGTTTCTGAGGATTCTAGAATGTTTGGCATCTTGGGAATCTTATCAGTAGTCGGAGTGGTGGTATGTATTATTCTTACAGATTATTTTATTAATTCTTGTTCGAACAAGTTTTTTCAACTTTTTGTTAAACTGACAATTTTTTTTATTTAACTGTAGTTTATGATCATTTCGTTTTCACTCGGAATGGGGCCCATTCCCTGGCTTATTATGTCTGAGGTGCAATTTTTTTCTATTTAGTTTCTGATATTGAGTATATGATTATTCCAGTCTTTGATCTTTCATATATTAAATGAGTGATCGAAAACATACTAACTTGCTTAATATTTCAATTTAATTTAATTTGTTTTCCCTGATATGTGTATATTGCAGATTCTTCCAATTAAAATCAAAGGACTAGCTGGAAGTGTTGCAACTTTGTGCAATTGGTCCTTCTCTTGGGTTATTACTATGACTGCACCGCTTCTACTCACTTGGAGCAGTGGAGGTTTGTTAATTATGCCCCTCTATATTTTTTGTTTTCCCATGTTTTTTCGCTTCTTTTCGGAGGAAAAAAAAATATTTTATGTAGTTTGTTAGCATTTGACCGCATACTTAGTCATACATAGCGGTGGAGATTGGAAAGGAAATTTCAAACTCCGCCAAAACAGATATGAAATATCGGAACTTGGAACAAGTTTTTTTTTTCTTCTTTTCATCCCAATTTCTGAAATACGGTTTTTTTTCGAATATTTGTTGGAACCGAACAGGAATTAGTTTTCGATTTCCGAAAAAAGAATAATTTTTTTTTCCGAAAGTGCTAATTCTGATCATATGATCCGTCTCAATTCAATGTAGTATGTCAAACATACTCGGTGTTTTTTTTTAATTGTATTTTAAATAATAATGGTAACTCATCGGACCTCGTAATTGGAATTGTGCAACAGGAACTTTCACTGTTTACACATTCATGTGCATATTCACCGTCGCGTTTGTGGCGATTTGGGTTCCGGAAACAAAGGGAAAAACATTAGAGGAAATCCAACTTTCGTTTAGATAAGATCTCTTTTGCCATTTTCGGGAATTTTTATTTTTCGATTATATTGTTTTTGTTATTATTATTATAATGTTGTTGTTGTCATTTTGTGCAAAGGGTGTAATATTATCTTTGTTTTTGGAGGGGAGAGAGGTTTTTTGAGTGGTAATCTCTCTAATTGTATTTCTTGAGATATTTCTTCCAGTAAAAGCATGCATGCATGCTTGTGATTATGTAAATTTCAGAATTTCATTTTCTTTTATTTATTGTAAAACATTTATAATAAATGAATTTCAGATTCCATTGTCATCTCCCATTCTCTCTATTTTGTTACAATTATTCATTATATTACACATTGTAGATGTTACATGGGCTACTGTATGTCATCATATATTTATGGGTAAATTACGAAAACATCCCTAAACTTGGGCTAAATTACACAAAACCCTCGGTTAACTATAATTACCAAAATTCTCCCGACGTTTGTTCATATATTGCACAAACGCTTTACAATGTATTTTTTCACGAAATCTTTTTTATGATAGAATATTCCCCCAACTTTTTAATGTATCCGTATTTCGAACATGTTTTGTGTCTGACACTCGAGTACAACTGCCTAACATCTTATGTAGCATTTTGCAATTTCTGATAAGTTAGAAACATGTTTGAATAACGGATTTTCAAATATTTTTATTGATTCCCAGTTATTACAAGGTTTAATGATCAACCGCAAATTGATAGTTGATAATATAGAAATATATAAAATTAATTTATAAATACATAACATCTTATATATATATTGTAGCATATTTATAAATATATCCCTATACTTTTAATATTTACACATTTACCCCAAGTTTCCGAATCCCCATTTTTGGCATATGCCATTTCCCCGTGTTTGTTTCCCTTTTCCCGGTATCGCCGTTTCCGTGTCCGTACTACACAACTACTAGGATAATAACAATTTTCTAATCATATTACTAGATGTAGCAATTTGTAATCCTACAAGCTAAGGACTTGTAATCCGGAAAACATGTAACAACTAGATGTAGCAATTTGTAATTAAACATCTAATTAGCCCCAAAACATGTAACAACTAGATGTAGAAATTTGTAATCATCTTCAAAATAAAGCCAATGGTTTGAACTTTGAAACCTGAAGTTGAATCGGTTGAATCACGAACCATTGCCTTAGATGTCCAGTTTAAAATATGTAATCAATCCTAAAATAAAACCGGGAAGTAAGAATGAAAAGCGTGGAAATGAATAAAACCAATGGTTTGAACTTTGAAACCTGAAGTTGAATCAGTTGAATCACGAACCATTGCCTTAGATGTCCAGTTCAATTTGGTTGGTTTAATCGCAAAATCTGAACCGGCTGAAAATCGAGTTGTTTTTGCCCAAAATCAGAACCGGCTCTAAATCAATGTACCGGCTCTAAATCAATGTTTGTTCCGTGTTTCCAAAACATTGATTAAAACTAACTAATTCCAAATTCAAATCTCGAGTTTGATTGTTTTATCAATTTACATTATTATTCATATCGCGCATTATAATTAAATCGTCATCCAAATATATATTTAAAAATAAATATATATCAATAAATAATTAAATATTTAAAAATACAATATATATAAAAAATATGAAATTACAATAGAGAATATTAAATAATAATCCAAAAGAATAAATCCTATTCTTTCAATAAGCCATAATTAAGTAGCCCTAACTTGCATGAATTTTATTGTGTTTTTTTTTTTTTTGTATGTTATTATTATCTGTCAAATAAAATCAGGAACGTTTATCACCTAACATCTTTTTGTTTGAATAGTTGTTAAGATGGAAATTAATAAAGAGTGCCAAAAGCGACGTCGTAAAGAGGGTATTCAAACCCCAAAACCACAACCCGGAGCAACCCGACCCGGTAAAGTGGAGGTACAGGGATCAAACCCGAAATCAAGTACCCGATAGAACCTGTGTGATCTGGCCAGTTCGTCACCATCTCCTTCCACGGCGGCCGGAACCCTAGAGCCGCCAGGAGATAATATGCGTACATCAGCACATGCACGGAGGCGTTCGTCACCAGCCCCACCGGGGAACAGCGTCTGCGCCTCCGCCAGCCACATGTAGCACATCACCAGCACCGCCGCGTGGTGGTACACGTGGAGGAACGAGAGCCGCCGCGATCGGGATCCGCTCCCGCCGAGGAGGATCAGCAGCGTGTCGGCGAACTCAAGTATCTTGGAGAAGTAGAACACGTGGGCCCAGAAGAACGTCGGGCCGCGGGCCCGCGGTGGCGCCGGCGGGGAAGCAGACGCCCCATGTGAGGTTGTCCGGCGGCGTCTGGTGGAGGACGGACAGGGTGCATCCGGCGGCCATGACGATGGAGAGGAGGCAGAGTATGACGTTGTGGGCGGCGGCGGCGAGGCGGAGGGCGGCGGGAGGGAGGGTGGGGAGGATGGGGTAGCGGTGGAAGAGGAGGGTGAGGGAGAGGTAGGTGACGGCGGCGGTGGAGACGAAGAACGGAGATGCGCCGGGTGTTACGCCGGGCTGCCACTCGTATTGGCTGATGATTGGGTGGTCCACCAGCCAGTAGTGCACCGCGTCGTAGAGAGTCGCGGCCGCCGTCGCTAAATTATGTTCGGTGTAGATTTTGCTGGACCGGCTCCGGTTTTAAAGCTGAAAACTTGTGCTAAAGTACGACTTATAAAATGCCAGCAAGAAAAAATGAATGGTAGGTAGTGAAAAAAATCGATAAAAATAGAACTTTTAAATGAACGTGGAACAATATATATAGGGCGAAGTTAGATGTTAGAATAACTACTCACTAAACACACATACATATGAGTGTGTATAATTATGTATAGATTTATGGTTCAAATTCACTCAATATAAATAACCAGGTGTAAGATCTAATTTTCAGTATATAAAGCCTTGAAACGTATTATATAAAAAATAGTTGGTTTTATGCATTTATATATATGAAATGTTATTTGCGGTCACAAAATTGCTATTCGCGCTTTATAATAAAACCCCCCAAAAGTTTTAAAAATATCTAAAAACTCCCCAAAACTGCAAATAGCAAAAAAAAAGAAAATTCGAAAATTCGAAATCAAGCTTGAAGAAGGGTTGGGCTTCGATTTTTTGATGTAATTTCGACTCTTTTATGTGTAATATGCATTGGGTAGATCGATTACGGAACCAATTTCATGTTAAAAAGCCCTACAAATCGATTTGTAGGCCTTTTTTTTTCGCAAAAAAATGGTCGAACCCCCTAAGATGGGCGCCCAAGTCTTGTACGAACGCCCGTTCCGGGCGTTCGTACACGCCTTGGGTGCCCATCTTGGGCCCGAACATTTAAAAAAAAAAAAAAAAAAAATTTGCACTGGACGCCCAACTCGGGCGCCCAAATACAGCTTGCACGCCCAACTTGGGCGTGCACTGCATGAATGGGCGCCCAAGTTGGGCTTTTACGCGTTTTGGGGGGGTTTTTTGATTTTATTAAGAATTTTTGGGGTTTTAGTGAAATAAAGTATTTTATTGGGGGGTTTTGTTATAAACCACAAATAACAATTTTCAAACCGCAAAAAGCAATTCCCTTTATATATATAGCAAAAGGCTTCACTACCAAATTTAATTCACTATCTCAACAACCGGTCAAAGTCAAACCTTGAAGATTCAATGTCACGAAAATATCACATATATATATAATAATCATAATAATAATAATGAGCACTAAGATGGTGTTTGCAAGAGCTTTTAAAAATAGATTATGATCTTTTGTTCTTACATAATTTATTTTTAGGCGTTTACAGAATCGACTTTTGCTTTTACTTCTCTTAAAATAAGCTGAATTAAGCTATAATTTTAATAGAACCTATGTACTTTTTTTTTTAGTTAATTTTTCAGATTTTTTATAAATACCCCAACTTTTATATGTACCTATTACAAGTGATTGCGTATCTATATTCATAATATTTATTCAAAATTGCGATTAATTTAAAATTTTCAAATCATGAATTAATTATTATCAAGTAGAGAGTTATAACTTATAAGTATCACTTGTTCCCAACTCATTCCTGCATACTAATCACGCCATAACAACTTATTCACTCTTCAAAAGAACTTAATAGATGTAAGAGTTTATCAACTGTTGAAAATAGCCAATAAACACTAAATATTTCAAACACAAAATTCGAGTTTGATTATTTTTCAAATTCATATGTTTATAGTTTCCCGTGCATTACAAAAATGAGTCACAACATATTTCAGTCACATTTGCAATACCTAAGTACAAAATTCCTAAAAAAAAAAGGGAAAAACAATTATAAAAAAAAAAAAAGCCTCTTTCATATTAAATAAACCATGATTATTAGCTCAAGATTGCATTTGAAATTATCAAAAAAATAAAAACCAATTAAATCATGACCGTTTATCCTTGATCGAGATCGTCGTTGGATCAGCACCCAACTTCCTTTGGTGTGAATAGTTTTTGAGATGGAAATTAATAAAGAGTGCCAAAAGCGACGTCGTAAAGAGGATATTCAAAACCCAAACCCGAAACCCGGAGCAACCCGACCCGGTAAAGTGGAGGTACAGCATCAGACCCGAAATCAAGTACCCGAATAGAAACTGTGTGATCTGGCAGTTCGTCACC